AAGATGGTGGGAAAGTCACAGACAACGTGAAAGACTATATAACTCTCAACTGCTTTGGCAAAGAGGAGCCTTGACTTTTGGATAGGATCTAGACAAAACCATTTTCTGTTTACTTCCATTTAGGAGAATAGATCCTTCCTAAAAAGACCAGCTGTTGCTTAGGTTCAAGTTGGAATGCAATGATATCATTTAACCCTGTGAGCTCTCAATAGTGCAATCTATGTCCAAATGGTAGGCAGGCACAGAGCTATGAGGAATATGCATGGTCATCATCCTGGACGATGGCTTCATTTAAATTTTGTATTTTGCCCACCTTATCAGAAATCTAAGGAGCTTTATGGCAATGTACTCTTCCAACTCAAAAAAGAGGAAATGTATACCATCTGAGGCTAATGAATATCATCAGAGAATAAATAAGTCAGGAAGACTATACGTAATGGGACTGGGAGTTCTTATAAACTATTTTGTTGGAAGTAACATCTTGGTGAATTTTCCATAGGTTGGGGAGCATTCTAGTGCTGCATCCTTGGGGACCTTTTGTGACTCTCTTATTGCATCAGCGTAATGATAACAGCCAGAGACACATGGCAGTCGCATTCTGAGGTTCCCAGAGTCAGGGTCTGTTGAATCACCTCTCACAGGGTACAGTTTGACTCCTAGAAATGGGTTTAGCATTTTTATTCCCTCCAACTTTCCCCTGGCTTCCCTGTTGTTGTTGTTGGGTGTTTTGAAAATGAAAAACAATGTGGTTGGAGGAAAGGTCTACAGTGTGTTTGTGTCCATGAGAATAAACATGGACTCACTAGATATAATGCATGGTGACTCATGCTTTGTGTCATTTATCTTCACTTGTGAGGAGAGGTGGGATAAGTCATTCATGACTGTGCCAGTCCTGATCCATCCTTTATCACTACACTCATGAAGACAAATGCCACATTCAAAGGTTCTCAGCTATCATGTCCTTTCAGACCAGAGATTCTGATCAGAGAGAGCAGAAGGTTGACCTGGTGCTGTTACTTAAAAATCAAGAACACTTTGCACATACCATCTTTTACCCCACAAACCTTGACCTTCAATCTCAAATTAACACATGACTAGCAGCTATAGAGATGAGACCACTGGATAGCACTTATAATTTCATCTATGTCTATAGATGCTCACTTTATTTTGAATTTAAAATATCTAGTTCCTAATAAATGCCAAACATACAGATCTTCAGTGGCAATGTACTGATTAATAGGAGAGTGTTCCAGTCATCACAGTGATAAGTGGTATAATGAAGACAATGCTGTGGGAAAAGTAATAAGTGGTTAATTTTTTCTGTGAGCAAGTCAAATGTGATATGAAAGGAGAAAGTCCGAATAGAACTGTTGAACAATGATATTATTTGAGCTGATATATTAGAGAAAACAGTATGGACACCTTAGCTTTCTACAATAAATAGATGGTGGTACTATTGGATTTTTAAAACAATGGAAGAGCAAATGAGATGCTTTCTCTTTTCTGAGCTTCTGGACCTTACTACAGGTAATTAAAAGATAAAATGTTTTTTTAAAATAATTTAGAAACTGAATGCATTTATTCTGGTTTTGCTTTCAATTATCTTTCTATGAATTGAAACACTTTAGAAATTAAACTATCCATTGAAATCAAAGTATTTCCTTTTCTCTTGGTTGCTATATAAAAGTTCACATAAGCAGAAGTAATCTGGAATATTTCTGCAAGTTTGAGAAAGTTGATTGACAAACTAGGCATTTCTAAAGATATTTCTGTCTTTGAAAATTTAGTTTGAACCATAACAAACATATGTGTGTGTGTATTTATTTTTTACTTCAAAAATGTAATTTTATAAGTTTCTCTCTAATCAGCAATGTGGTTTGAATGATTTGTGTATTTCAAATTCAGGGTGTTTTCAGTCTTGCCCCCTTCTCTATAAACATATTTCATCAAATAAGCTATTTCATCTACTATTCAAGAAACATTTGTTGAACACATACTACATTGCAGTCTCTGGGAACATCAAACAGAATATATTGCATATCCTGATGGGACATATTGCCTAATGAGGAAGAAAGACACATGAGCAGGCAAGAGCAGTAGATGAATGCTCAATAAATATTCTTTCTCTTCTTCCCATGGAAGAACCATGGGTTGTGTTAAGGAACACAAAGGTGTAAACTCCTACAAATTTAGAGAATCTTGGAAGGATTCATGGCATAAGTACCTCCTTCCCTCTTTTAACATGTTCATGTTGAAAGATGATGTAAAGGACAATAAAGGGTTGCAGAATGAAGAGCGACAGGGGTGGTTTTATCTTACGTACAATAGCTACATAAGGACTCTCCGAGAAGGTGTAATTTAGGAGAGTCTTAGATGAAGTGAAGAAGGAAAGTACACAGGTTATTTGGATGAAAGATAGCACTATTGTCATGAAGCCTATACATAGCTATAGGCCCATCTGGGTGAAGAATATTCCAGGCAGAAACATCCATCTAGTGTAAGGTGCCTGAGGAAGGTTGGTGTGTTGGAGAAACATCAAGGAGCAGTATGACCAAAATGGAGTAAAAGCAATATGTTCAGAGAATGATATCAGAGGAGTGGTTGGAGGAAGAACAAAAATATGCATGGTCTCATAGGCCACTAAAAGTTCTATGGATTACTTTGAGTGATATGAGTAGCCGTGGAACATTGAGCAGAAGAAAAATATAATCTGACTTGTTTTGAAAGGATCCCACCACAGTTTGGAGAAAAGATTGAAGAGAAGCAAGGAAAGAAGCAAGGAGAAAGATACTGGACCAGGCTATGATATAGTTCAATTATCCAAAGAAAAAATTCAGGAAGTAGTAATGGAGCTATATAGATATGACCAGAATTTTTATATTTGGAATTTCCATTGTGCATCTGTTAAGTATAAAGTTGATAAGGTGTAGAGATGATAGGATGGAAAGGTGAGACAAATGAGTTTGGAAAAAAGTTACAAGGGTGATTTTGACCTGTGTTCTTGGGAGAATGGTCCCCCAAATAGTGTTTAGCACATGATAGGAGATTAAAATGTGTCTGTTGAAGTGCTCAGGAATGAATTGGCCAAACTATATTATTATATTGTGTGCATGTATGAATATATGACAACGAATCCCATCATTATGTACAGCTATAATGCACCAATAAAATATGTGAGAATCATTCTCTTGTACAAGTGAATAAATGGAATTGTAGAAAATGTCTTTGTCAGCATGTAATTGAGTTGGAATCGAGAGTTTGTTGTTGTTTTTTTTGTTGTTGTTGTTGTTTGTTTGTTTGTTTTTTGTGGAGAGGTTAATTTTCAATTCTTCCAAGTACAGGTCTTCCATAAACAGTTATGTACCTGTCTACAAGCCTGCTGGACTTTGAGTCTGTCAGTACTCAATTTATCGATGATCATCATAGACCTCCCTAGAGAATAAGTATAGATGAAGAAGAGGTAGAACCAGCAATAGAGGTTGAGCAGAGCAGACACTCTATAAACGTATTTCATCAAATAAGCTATTTCATTTAGAGTAGTTCCCAGGAACCAAGTGGAAGGCGCTTTTCAGAAAGTTCAGAATGCTACTGTGTCAGATGCTCCTAAGTTTTGCCTAAAATGAGAATTGAGAATTAGTTGTTTGATTTAGCCATGAACATAATTCTTTCACTGTCACCTTTTCTTTGTTACCTCTATGCATACTGTTACCTATGGCCTTCCCGGATATTCTTTTGAATCCCAGGCTCATCAAATTGTAACTCATATTTCACATGTGGCACTGAAAGGTAGTTAAATTTTTTTGAGACTATGAGATATGAAGAACATTTTTATAGGTTTGAGTTAGATTTTAAGCTATTGACAGAAAATCAATAGATACTCTCTAAAATATGTTTTAATTATAGTTTTACTTGATTAATAATATTCACCCATAATGCATTGAAGTTTGAAAAGCACTTCATCATATTTTATATCCCAGTAGAACCACCTACGTTGCTAAAATACCAAACTTTGACGCTTGTACCCTTAGACTGTCCCTGTTTCCAGTACCTTCTTCCTGCAACCAACTACAGATCCACACTTACCCTTCTTCATTATTTAAAGATTTTTAACACCTACTTCTTGTTTTCTCCAGTCCTACTCCTGATGGAATTCTTGGTGATTTCAGTATCCACTTCCATCTTTGGTGATTTCAGTATCCACTTCCATTTCTTGATCCTGATTACAGATTGTGTGGGATCGTTCCATCTGCTGTTGCTCAGGATTTCCCCTATGTAACGTCTGCAACAACAGTATTTTTAAGCTCGGGGATATAAAATTCTGTAACCGTGGGAAGTAAAGAATATTTCTTCTTTTATTTCATTAAGCTTTGCAAAATCCAGATTCTGTCTTCTTGTGTACCTTTGCTCAAAAGTTCTAGGTGGCCCTCAATCTTAGATTCTAATTTTTTATCCTGCTAGTGATCCCAGAGTGGGGGGAGGGGAGGAAAAAAGGAAAGATTATATATTAAATATCTCTCTTCCTTTTGTATGTGCGGAAAAAAAAATCCCAAATGGAGTTTCCAGCAGATGCCTATGTCAAACTCAGAACAGCTCATCTGACTTTAATAATTGAGTATTCTGTTTAATTATTTCCTATTCCTCTTTATAAAACAGTGTTTGATTTGATCTTACGAGGTAGTTCTGATTAGGACACAGGATCAGAAATAAAACGTACTTTCATAAGGTCATGAATCTAATAAGTAAGAACCAAGTGTAGACTCCAGATCTTTTGACTTCAAATGCATTTTTTTTTATTGGCATTAAAAAAATGCATTGTTCAAAATGGCCAGTGGTTAAAATAGCTGCCTTGGCTTCCTTCCCAGAACAGTGTTAAAATACAGTGGTGATTCAATAAATATTGTCACCAGTGGTGTCTGTGGTGGTGGTGGTGGTGGTGGTGGTGGCAGATCAAGAAGTGTGCTGAATTATTCTAATGGATACTTTTTTTTTTTTTTTTTTAGATTGGCAAAGACATTGCCTATTTGCAGCACAGAGACCCCAATGGAGAGCTAGGTGGGTGATGATTCATGCTAAATCGTTCCCACAATATGCTGAACACTACAACAGCAGCTAATGTGAAGTGGCTCATTATACACTGTCAAATCCGATAACAACAACAACTGGCTTTGCTAGCATGAGCAATTTGTGGGAAGTCCAGCCACTGCAAACCACTACTGCACTTCAAAAGATAAGCTGTAATGTAGCAAGAAAAACATATCCACTGAGTCATATTTGCAAATTTCTTGTGTGTCTCTCTTTGCCAATTTAGAAATTGCTTTCATGTTCCCAGCTTGTGTCCAGAAATGACTCTCCTTGGGATTTACTTCTCTTGTGCCTCTTCCTTCAGTCATTTCTATGGGCCAAAGATTCTATAAGGCTACTGGAGCACATGGACACAACTGGAAATGTCATTATTTTATGGGACTATTCCTGAAGCTCCCTTCTTTGCCTACCCTCTACCAACCAGCAGATGCCATACACATATACCCATTTACCTTGGGCTGTAGCACAGCATCCTTGGTGGTAATATTACCTACAGGAAAATAAGATCAGTAGGCGGCAGGCAAGAATGACTCTTTGCCTGATGATTTATGACTATGTGTCTTTTTGTATCCATTAAATGGTAATCTCTTTGATGGTTCTGCGTTTCCATATTTACATTTACCTATCTAGTGCCTATGAGCCATAGTTGGCCCTCCCTATTAATGTGTTTCCTTCCTGAAAGTCCACCCTTAGGGGTGGAACTGGATTAATTTTCTTGCCTTTCCTGTCCCTAGCACAGTGCCTGACACATAGTAGGTGGAAAACGACATGTCTGTTCAGTGAACTAATGAAGATATGAATGACTATCAATCCGATGGTTCTCCAGGCTAAATTAAAGGCTAAGTGAATGATTTCCCGACCATCAGAGACAGAAAAGTGATGGCTTCAAATCGTTTTTCTTCAGGCCAAAAGGAATAATGCCCTAAAAAAGTGGCTGTTTATTTTGGAAGGCAAGAACTAATCTGAAGCTATTTTCTTTATTTTTATATTCAAATGCCTATAAAACAGAAAAGCACCGGAGACCTATTCATTGCTCACAAATGATCTATGGGGTAATAATGTGCTTGCTTTTCCAGCTGTGCTGCACTTTGGTGCTATCTTGGGTTTAATTGAAAATATGCTGTGACCTTGGTTTTGTTCACTGGGCATAGGGGGTTATAATTGGCATGAAACCTCTAAAGAACTCCCTTTTAAAGGAATGTCATTTTGCTAATTTGGGGTTCGCCTGAGGGAAGTAATTTGTGAAGTCCTGTAAAAACAAGATGCATTTTAATCGCATGTCATTCGCAAGAAGTTAATGCTTTAAAAAAAAATCAGCCTTTTAGTTTTCAATACCTATTTGTTGAATCCTAAATGCTATCAGTATGATAATAGTATTGTCCCTAACAGTCTCATGTTTCATCATAATTAAATAAACAGCTTGTGAATTGCAGTCCAAAAAATGTCTGTGTTCCCCTCTTAACTTAAGGGGTTTCCATAGAAACCGTAGGCAGCAAGTTTAACTGACATTTATCGGACTTGAGTCTATATGCAGCATTGATATCTCTCTGTTTTTCTCTCTGTCACTTTGTATATGTGTCTTCTTTTCTTCCTTTAACCTTCCCAAACCTCATCCCCCTCAGCAAATCCTCTGCCTCCTCCTCTATTTCCTCCTCCTCCTTTTTCTCTTATTAGCATTGAGGAAGTAATTTGGACTCAGTTAGATTTAACAAATGCAATAATACTAAAATGGGGCCTGATACTTAAGTGTAATTGTGTTATTAGCTGGAAATGTTTTTCCTCAAAAATAAAAGAATTGGGAGTGAAGTATACCAAGGTAGCACATGTTGGTAAGAAGGAACCTTTCACTGCCAGTTAAAAGTTTGCCATCTACATATTAGGGCCACGTTCGTCCCCAGGTATGGCTTTTCCTTGATTTATTCAGCACAGAATGATATTCCTCCTCAGCCCTAGTGTTCAGACTTGAGCATAACATCCCCATTCTGGTCATGTTCCAGGAGTATGAAGAAACTGATTTAGGAAAGACAAAATATACTATGTAGATAGTACCTACTGTGTACCAGGTTTTTTGCTGGGTAAATTCACTTAGATTGCCTTAATCCTTCACACTTCACAGCCAGGTATTATATACAGGAAAATCAATCTGAAGCTGCTGGTCTACCCCAGGCTGGCTCTGAATCTTGGAGAAGATCTTAAATGTTCTTCCTTGGTTTCTCCAAGGCAAAGTGAATGTGAGTACTTCTAAGCAATAGGTTTTGTTAAGATTGAAGATGGTACTGCAGCTAGTACATCATAGTAGTAGTATTTCTCTTGGTGCCTTTAGAAATGAGTTGCTGAAAGAATAAGTCATTGATCCGAAGCATACAGAGCTAGTAGAAAGCAATCTATATAGCACCATGGTTAAAGCTGGGGAAAGGAGGCAGCAGGGAGGGTTAGACAGACCCAGGCTCATTTACTATCTGAGTGATTTGAGATAAGTGACAAACTCAGCATCTGGTTTCTCATCTGTATACCAGAATAATGGCTTTTACTCCATGAGTTTATGAGGAATAAATAAACTTGTATATGCAAGTCACTCAGAGTCTCTACCACATAGAAAGCACACTGTTTTTGTTTCCCCCCCTCTGTGTCTCCCGCTCCCCCACATTTCTGATTTTCTATTACTATGGATTCAATGTAAAATAAAATCAGTCTTCCAACTCTATCTAATACCTATAGTTGAAAATTGTCTGAAAATTCATAAACCCTCTCAAGGTTTCCTGAGAGCAAAATATCAAAAAGAATCCAGGAGTAAGTCAGAGATGTTGGTGGATATCTAGTGAATCAGAAAAGAAAGGATGGAGTTTAGCTAGGACAAGACTCTGAGAGGCCATAATTGCTGGTGAGAGTGATTTTTCCACATATATGCACACTCTTCACTGGTGCATGTGTGCACACGCGCACACACAATATGGCTCCACTTTTTTCTGTCCAGGGGTCTATTCTTTCCTTATTAGGGCATTTATTCTCTATTTTTTTTGAAAAAAATATTTTAATACACTTTATCTGCTTTGTGTTAGTTTAGTTAAAGCTAAATAATATAATGCATAGAGTCACCCTAGCCAACCATACAGACATAGCAGTATGTCATAACATGTAGTAAGCATGTGAGTAAGCATGAACACCACAGGAAGCCACTCTTTTGCCCAGGATTCCTCACATATGTTATGTGACACATGGCGTCACTTCCACACAAGCAAAGCTTACTTCCTTTATCATTTCTTAGATGATGGTTAATTATAAGTAGATATCCCAATATTTTTCTTCCATTCCCTAACAGATCATCTTTCTTGGCAACCTTGAGGTTGAAAGGAGTAGATCAGAAAAAGATGTTCTTGTGCTGAAGGAAAAGTTCAAATTTGTTTCATCGAGTGACTGTTAGTAAACATTTCAGGCTATGTAAGTCCTATTATCCATGAGAATTACTCTGAACTTCAGTGTGAAAGCACCCCATAGACAATACATACACAAGCTCTCATAGGATCATCTAATAAAACTTTGTTTACAAAAAGAAATGTTGAGCTAGATTTTGCCTGTAGACCAGAGTTTCCCAAACACTGATCCCAGAGTTTTGTTTACATCCCCATCCCACGTCTAGTTTCTGTTGGCATGGTACTTACAGTTTGAAAAGCAGGAATGGAAAGTGTAGGAGTGACAGCCTTACCATAATTTACCCTTGTTTTGTAGAGTTTACTTTTTTCCCAAGTGTTTTCAACATTAACCTTTATCTCTCTCCTATGCCTTTGGCATACAAAGGACACATATTCTGTCTTCACTTGACAGAATGGTGTAGTACATTTAAGTGACTTACATTATTGTCACCCTGCAACTGTAATTAATATCCCTATTGGAATCAGGCTGTCAGTCTTGTGCTTTTTCAGTTGAATTGTTCTTTATAAAATGTATCCTTTAGAGAAAAAAGACAGATGGTGGGAGAATAAACCAAAAAGGAATCTTCATCATTCAAACCAAGGAAAAAGTAGGTTAAGTACTAATGGCCTAAATAGGGGCATATTCAGGTTTCCCTGTTTCTCATCACTTTAACATACCTTGGGGGACCAAGTTCCCTATTGCTTTTCATATATATGTTTCATTTTCCCCCCATGGAATATTTTTGCAAATTATACCTTGTAGGCAAAATGAATACAGGAAAATACAGGGAGTTTTTACTTTGCATAGTACTATGTTAACTGGTTTGTTAATATTGGAACAGCAGTCATCATTTTGCAAGGTTCCATGGTAACTAGAGCAAATACAGAGACTGCAGAAAGATGACTTTTTCCAATATACATGACTTATGGTTAACATGGAACCAAGCAAAATGAGGACTGCCTTATGTAAATAAATAAGAATCCAATTTCCAAATGTCTGCATTTGCTGAATAATTCCCTCTTTTGTAGTCATTAGGGGGAAACAAAGAAATCTCTATTCCAGTCATTTCCATTATCTGACATGTCATCACCAATGCTTCCTCATTATGCAATGCGAATAGTGTTGAGGTTACTTGAAACCAGTTTCCAGTTTCAATTAGGAGGCCATCCCTGCTATCTGCATTCTGATTAAATGACGTTGACTGGAAATCACAGAAAGAGTCTACTCTGTTTCCTCCCCTTGCTCAGATCTCATAAACACAGACTCAATTAAAGAGAGTTTCCTTATCAGGTTTTTGTGGGTCATTTTGGTGAATTTATTAAACTCTTAAGTCATGCTGAAAACTGGAAGGCGGTGGGTCTGAGATAGTCAGCAGGAGCCAGGGTTAGATATGCAGTACTTGCTCCTGTGCTTTAGGAACTGTAAAATAAACAGAAGTCAAGGCAGCCAATGAGTTTCACAGAGTGAAAATTCTGTTGTAGAGCTATAAAAAACATGATGCATATCTGCCTATGTTTTAGGCTAAATCAGAGCCTTATCTATACATTCATTATTTTAGA